ACAGATTGGGATTAATGATGTGAAATACAATCAACTCTTAAATCAGACTTTAGTTCCACTTGGAGTAAATTCACAAGCTACCCTGCAGTACACAAAGTCATTAAAACTAGCTGCACCTTTACCAGCTTTGATAACACTTTAATGATCAATAATTATAAAACATATATCACACATATTATTCTGAAATGGACCAATCTGCAGAATGACTACTTTTACTTTTAGTACTTTAAGTATATTTTGATGCTTATACATTTTTACTTTTACTTGAGTAACATTTTGATTGCGGGACTTTTACTTGTAACAGAGTATTCCTACACTCTGGTACTTCTACTTTCACTCAAGTACAAGATCTGAGTACTTCTCCCACCTGAAACAATTTGACAATGTCACAAATGATCTCACAGTCACAAGCAGGTGTTAGATCAACACATTGTTTGCTAAATAGGTAAGGTAAATGACAAGATGAGTCATATCATGATGTTATGTTTTAGTATTATTACAAGGTTTAGTTGAATACTCGATCCTGATTGGTCAATTCAGAACACGTGACATGTTGTTAATCCAGTAGTACAGACGGCTGTCAAGGATTTATTGACCGTTGTTAAGGACGCTCACATCTGCAGAAAGAAGTCCGGTCGATTTTACTGTATACAGTTTGGCCGAAAGCTTGTCTTTAGTTTTCCGTTGTCTACCGTCTGAGAGCAACACGGAGGATTTCAAACCACTGCACACGTTTCTCCACGTAAAACACAGGAATCTGACATAAAGTCACGTGTTAGCTGGTTTCAAACACTGATATTCAAAAGGCCTCACACATGGACCAATGATCAAGAAACACGTTCCATCTGTCCAAACACCTGGTGGCATAATTGTTGGCTCATCAATCAGGATGTTAGCACTATAAAAATACCACAGGTGAGTACTTTCTTACAGCAACAATGGAAGCCAACATGGAAGCAAGAGGAAGAGGAAGATCTGAGCTGAGAGTGAGAGGAGGAGGAATGAGAGGTAGAGGTAGAGCTGGAGGGAGAGGACGTGGACAAAGAAGAATACTCTCTAAGGAAATGAAATGTTATCAACCATGGTTTGTCGATGAGAGAGGCTGGACAGAGGGTACAGCCTAATCTAATCCGATGTACTGTTGCCTCTGTAATCCGGACACTTGAAAACAGGTTAGTTCCCAGTTTTTAGCTCTGCATAATTCATGATATATCAGTGCTTATATCTGTTGTGTGAAACGCATTTACTTCATTACTGTAACTGAATTGTTGGCATGTTGCATACATACATCCTGCACAATTTACTGTGGTAAATGTATGCAACACAGACACTGACCAACCACTATATCTTTGTTGTTTATCTGAAGGACGGAGAAACAAAGAGGTGCAGGTGGAAGGCTAAGGATTTTCAATGAGGCACAGGAAGCAGCAGTTACAAACTGGGTTTTGGCAAACAATGNTGGAACAAGAGAACACGTAATGTCTGTGGAACACAATCCCGTTACTAAATTGTTATTTATCAATATATATGTCATATTTTATGGTGCATGACGGGCGGGAGGGTGTACTGGAAGAACGGGGGGGGAAACGGTGGGGTACATTTTACAAGATCTTGGCGGTGACCGCCAAAGCACGACAAAACTCAAGATATAATCTAGCGAACATATTTTCGTAGTCGATTTTACTTTAGATTACTTTAATTTTTTCCATGTTCCGATTTCGTAATACTTAAAATTTTTTCTATGTAAGACGTGCCTATGAAATGGTATTATGTTTATGGGGTTCTATTACTTCTGTCTAACTACATGCGTATAGACACATAGAGAGCTCCACGGTGGACACACGTGTAGTGCTATGGACAATGTAGGAGTCGGATATTACACTTCCATTATACGTCTTTATACCGTTTGTACTCAGCTATAACGTCTTATCGTCCTCGTCTCCGTAGAGCGTCTGTCGCAGTGGGATAAATCGGGCTATACTACAGATTCGACTCCCCGGTAACCAAGTCCTTCGGGGGTACGACCAGACTACAGACGGTGTTTTGCCCCGGGGATTTTATAAGGAAGAAGGTACAAGCCGAACCATCTACTCGTTCTCACTCTTCGACGAGGTTATTGTCCCCTAGTGATATACTTTTCTATTGTAAACTCTACTACTCTATAATGCTAACAAACCCTAAAAGTACACAAATCATACTAAAACCAGCAAGAGTCGGATTGGGGGGGAAAGGGTAGGTCTCCACCTTAACTTGATTATATAAAGAATCATAAACGTGAAACTCATGCGTAAACTCATTTAACTGTGAAATGAAAAATTGATGGGTTGTCAAATATCATCTATATACTATAACAGTCAATGGTTAATGTCCTGGAAATTTGAACATCAGTTCATAAAGTTCACAGATTTATCACTGGAATCGAATTGCAGTGTTTTAGACTTGATGAAGGAATGACTAGACATAGTGACTAGATTAAAGATTGAAGGTCTAGGTGTCCGCCTAGTCACAGGCCTCAGGGTGTCGTATTGTCAGGGCTCGGGGGAAGGTTCCTTTAGGGCGCAAGGTGAGCGAGCACGAGCTAGCGATGGTCCCTCTCGCTCCAGAGTGGACCAACCCTTCTCCCTTCAAAGTTTCGTCTCGTGGAACCCACACTCCTCGTTTTCCATTCACTAAAAACCAACGATACATCTAATGCAAGTAAAATTTGGTATGTCCACCACTATCCTATATTTGATAGTTACACGGTACTTATAATCGAAGTCACGGGGGGGGCACCGTCTAATTTACGTAACACTCAGTGTATACTCTACGACCGAATTTTCTCTCACATACGTCGGTTGACAGTGTGGGGTTTTTTGAATAAAGGTCTATTTGGGTTTGCGTACGAGACCGTTACACCCGCTACCCTAAGAAAGGGGACAACAACTACATACCACCACGGCCTATTAAGCCTTATCTTGTCGTTCGGGGAAGAATAGGTTGAAGGTTTACTTAAAAACAAAGAAAAGCCTACAAGTATAGATTCTCCGACAGCCGTCATAAATAAGTCCGCCGAGACTCAGTGGCGGGCGTACCTTATTCCTGCGAGCACAAAAGAGGGGCCAAGCACGCCGAACTAAACTAGCTATTTTTAGGCCCCTTGAACAACGCGTAGCCCACAAAACACCCGCGCGACCGCGAACCCGCACTAGAGATTACCACCTTTCGGCGTAGGAACCACACACATACCAATAGTCCTCCAACACACTCTTTGACGTTTTCGGCAAACTATAGTATCTCTCAACCAACGAAGGACCGACGCAGACGTCCCCACCAAGCCTCACTGACAACACACAAGACTTATATCTTATCCTCAGCTACTCTAGCCTGCACATAAAGATGCGCACGCGAACCGTAACCCCTATATATCTACAGACACCCACACTAAAGCACCCGAAAGTGTACACTCGCCCCACATCACCAATCAGGGACAAACACTCCCACGACCTAGGAGAACGACACATACCGACGACACCACTATCGTGAACACGCGAGGACTGACAGATATAATAGACATCCGACGAAGACTCCCACATACAGAAACCACAACAATGATACACCGATGCCAGGAGACACATCAATAATCAACTACAACATTAGAAGTATTCACACACCACTTCAATTAATCATACAAACACAAATAATACGTATTGCACTACAGAGAAACACCGACTATGCGAACCCTACCACGCGCTCTAGCTATTATATAGTATAAAATCACTTACACACAACACATTATAACAAAACTCCATCTCAATATCTCACACCAAACAAACTTGACAAGTACCCCCCAACTCCACACCTATCACAAAACAAAATATAAGAGCAACACTCTAGACTAACATAATATGATTCTGTTAGCAGCAACAAAACAGACTACAAAAACCCAAATCGAACCCGTAGACAGTATAAATGTCAGAAACAACTACGAAAGGATTTTCTATAATAATCACCACCACACAACAAAACAAAACACAACACAACACACAAGGGAAACAAAAAAGTAACATACAAAACATAGACAAAACTATAAGAATAAAACCTAAGAGATCGCTTCGACACAAAACGTTGATAAACCAATAACATTTCGTAGGAGCTTCCTTACACCAGAACAATACGTACATAGAGTCGGCATACACACAAAGAAAGGACTCTTTCCATAGCTATGACTGAGCGAGCACAATGTCCCACCCACAATCGTCCAATTCATCGGAGCTACACAACTAAGATAGACAACGACGGCACAAATTGAAACCATCCATATTGCCGACTAACAGGGCCTTTTCTCAAAAAAGACATTAACGGTAAACTGTCGATTGCTAATGACGTCCAGGAACCACAACTAAGAATCACCACACGACGACCAGATAAGATTACTTAACGTAATTCCGCCCCCCTCATACCTGGTCACGTCGTAATCTTTATTAGAAATTTAACCTACTTGTACTAATCATAAAAAGGTTCTACACTGGTACAACTCCTGAATATATCAACACATAACAACATCACAAACTAAAACTCAAAACAACTTCGGATATGATCCAACGTATAACAAACTAAACTATAGTATAAAACAGCAAACAATACTCATGATTTAGAATTCTGCTTACTGTAAGTACAGTAAAAGTATTTTGTTATAATTAAGTACATAAATGACATCACCCATCTCTTCAGAGAGCTAAAGGTGACCTGTGCAGCAACACATTTCAACATGTGTCAATACTAAGAGCTGCTAGATTGTGCTGCTGTAATGGAATATGTATGAAAGGAGAATAAGAACATACCATGTGGTCCAGCTGGAGTCTCCTCTGCCTCCTGATCCCTGCCTCTGTCCCTCTTCCTGACACTTCATCTTTATTCCTCACATACATTTCTTCTTCTTCACTAATGTCTTCATCTCCTCCTCTTCCTCCTGCTCTGACCCTCCTGGTCTCTTCATCTCCTCCTCTTCCTCCTGCTCTGACCCTCCTGGTCTCTTCATCTCCTCCTCTTCCTCCTGGTCTCTTCAGTGTACTCTCTTTTCCTCTTTCTGTTCGTCCTGATCTCTTCTCAGATATGTCTTTTTGTTGATGTTGACTCACTCCAGCTACTCTGGCCTGCAAGAGCCCACTTGTGAAAAGCACTGGTACAAATGCGTGTATAACTTTACACGTTAGGGCCATGTAGCTGATAAGTAGCATATAATAAATATAACATCAGAAAGTATTGATCAAACGCACAGGCAGCTGTGTTCAGATCCAGTTTGACGGTAAAGGATGTATCCTGGTTTAATTTATCTCGCCTCATTGCTGCCGTCCCAAACAGCGACCGTCTGTTAAACGCTATCGATTCAAACAGCAGCGTTTTATTTAGATTTTGTTTGAAGCTCTCGTCTTTAGTAAAAACAAAACTAGTGGAAGGGAAAATGCTCCCAGGGGAAGATGATCCACCTTCAGGTGCGGGGACAGCTCACTCCCTCTCTGCAGCCGTGTGTGAGCCGCTGTCTCTGTGAACGCCGCTCCGCAGTTTAATGCAGGGTCGTAGCTGCGTTTTTAACGGGCCTAAAGTAAGATGATATTTAAAATGATTCACTTTTAATTAATTAACTGCTTGTTTCGTTGCTTGAGAAGCTTGTGGACATAGTGTAGGTTTGTTTCTACAAGTACAGTTTTAGGGACACAAAAGTTAGGGGGGCAGCTGGGGGGGTAAGGACAGTGGAGGGGAAGCTGCCCCTTGCCCCCCCGTAGATCCGCCCCTGAAGAAACCTACAAGGACATCTGCTTTTGAACCAACCGTTTTAATTCTAGTTTATTGGATTCAAATAAGCCGAACATTTTTAATATTTACACAGACTTTAGAAGGTTTCTATTTGACAGCCTTTTACAAATTAATTTTCTATTTCTAATTGTCTATTTAACACTTTTTAATTTTATAATAATTTGGATTATAGAAACCTCAGTTCTAAATGTATTATCTTTAATTCCTTCCTGGTCTTGCCATCTTTGTCCCCCTTTGTTGATCAGAAGCTGATAAAAACAATAGATTTAGATAAGGTTTTGAGGGTAAAAACAAAGGCATGAATGTTTTTGTGATGATATTTACCAATTTTTTTGGAAGTTACGAGCATCCAAGATTTTTAAATTTGTCAGCTGGCCATAATGTTATTTAATATTAAAAATGCTTGAAAAGAGAATCTACAAAAAATATTAAAAATTGTATTTTACTGACATTTCTAAAGAGAAACTGCAGACAGAAATCTGTTTCACAGACAAGAACAGAGCTGCCACCATCAGTACAGATTCATAGTAGGGATGGGAATTTGAAAGCAAATCTATATTCGAATATTCGACCCCCAAAAAAACGGTAACCGATTAACCGAAATGTACATATCCTATAAAAAAAAAGAAATATGGGAAATATGTTTTCCAAAAAAAAAAAATATATATTAATTTAAAGAGGGATCATACACAAACAACATAACCGGTTAGGGTAACGTAACCCTATTACAACAGAGATCAACAACCTATAACAGGGCCTATGCACAGAATGCAGCTATTCAATACTCATTCTTGTTTAAGAATATGAGCATGTATACTCAGGGGAGAGGCGGGTGCGGAGGCTATTCACAATCAGGCCAGCTGTAGAGAAGCTGGAATTTGGGCATAAGATGAGGTTTGAGTCTGCGTGATCTGCGTGTAGGGAGGGGCAGCAGCCATATCATTAGCTAGAACTAGCTAGATCTGATGGATTTGGACATAAACGCGAGTGAAGTATAACCGGACGCGAGGGAGAGATCAGCACCTGCAGCTCTGCCCGCTGTGAGGGACCGGTGAGCGGAGCAAAACACACGTTTAGACCTAACACATTTAGCTATGGCACTGTCGTATACATTGAATTATTCCATTTGATAAAATGTAATCAACTTAGGCACCCCTCCCAAAACCAAAAAAAAAAGATATTCATAACTCATATTCTCATATTCGAACACCTGAATAATTTTGAATATTCGATTAATCGTTCCCATCCCTAATTCATAGCATCAGATAAAATAATATTATGAATAAAGTCAGAAACAATGACAAAAACCCATTAGAGGCCAGCACAACCAGATGTTTTGTCACGGTCAGCAACTCACTATGAGCTGCCGTTAACCATAACATTTGGAATATCATTTATCTGCCTTGATTTGTATTATATTGTTACAACAATCAATCGATTAGTGATTTGGTCTTTAAAGTGTCAAACAATATTTCAAAAGGCCCCTTTCTAATTTAGGTGCTCTGAATAGACGTCTTTACATGTTTACCTGAACAACAGTGCAAAGAGAGAAAAGCATTTTTGTTTAACCAATTATATAAATGATTAATCAAGTATCGAGAATAGATACATTTCTGCCAGCTGTATTTTTCTCTTCAGCCCTGAATTGCATAGTTGCACTTTTACAGAGTCCTCCAAACTTTATAAATTATTTTGATCACATCTGTCACTCACAGCTGCACTTGTGATTAACACTTGTGCTGGAAACAGTTAATTAAAAACGACTACTCTCCGGAGAGAAAGTGCGTACCTGCTGGGAACCCGCTGTCAGATTCCTCGAGGTGCTCTCCGTCTTCCAGCTTGTCTTTGTCAGTGATGTAATCCCCAGTCTGATACTTTTTGCTACGACATCGCCGGCGTTTCTTAGAAGCAGGCGTGTCACACTCTGCACTGGCCATCTTCCCCTTGCTCTGACACACTCTCTCGGGCAGGGGGTTGGAGCGGGGCCTTCCTCTCGGACGGCGGGCGGGTTGCACGGGAGTCACAGGTGGTGACGGGGAACTCGGGGGAGGAGGCATTTGTGGGGGGGGAGGGGAAGGCGTAGCAAAGCCCCAGAGGTCGAGTCGAGCCTCATCAGCTCGCCGTCGTCCTCTCCTCAGTCTTGTGAAGGAGCTTCCAGTAGAGTCGGACTCTTTACCGGATACAGCCGAGCGATTGAGAGACACCGGAGTCTCCACACTCTGAACACCACCGCCGCTATCTGCAACTGATTTAATCAAATTGAATTGTTATACATTCACTATGTCTATGCATAGAAGTATGACTGACACATCAAAAAACACCATCCAGACAATATGTGCGACAATTTCTGTCTGCTTCTGAGGCTGACTGCAGGCTATTTATTTCCAGAGCGAGAACTATGAGATCTACTTTTAAGCTTAATGAAATGCCAAATGTGGGATTCAACTGAAGCATCATTATAAATGTGACATTTATCAGCAATGAGTCCACAATGCAATAACGTTTCAGGGCTGTTCATGTCACATAATTATAAGAAACAAAAGATGGAACCTGGTTTGTTGCGTGCTGGTGGATCGGCCTTGTTGGGACTGATATTGACCCTCAGAGTCGGCTCTTTACTCGGTGGAGAAAGTGTCCCCGCCGAAAGACTCTGCTCCAGCGCAGGTGCACATTGTTTCTTCTGCTGGAATACACAGGGGACAAAGTGAGCACGCTGTATTGGATGCTATTGATCACAAAGCTTTCATGGTGACAGAAAGCTTTGCAACACACTCACAATAAACCCTTTGGAGTTAAATCATTAGTCATAGAAAGGCAGCTCTGTATCTCAAAATGAATAGATGAGATCTTGGCGAGATTAACATGATTGCTACCTAAAATGTCTACCTAAAACTCAATCAAAGGGAGATATAAAGAAATAATCAAAATACATTTTAGACATTAAAAAGATAGAGATAATTTACCTTTTTTTGACAAGACACTTTGGATGGAGTGATTTTTGCGTCTTGTTTTTTCTTTGCTGCAGCCTTTTTTGATGAGTCCGTTGCCGCCTTCTCTTTTTCTGGCTTCTTAGGACTGGTTTTCTTTTGTTTGGCCGCAGAAGATTTTGCTTTGGTTGGCGACTCCTCTTTGGTTCCGTTTGTTTTCTTCTCAAACTTGTCGCCTCCCGCCGCACACTGGCCTGTAAGAATGGATGCAACCATGCCCTCCAATTTTGCTCTGGGAGGACTGTCCGACGCCCCACTTTCTCTCTTCAACATTTCCCCCTCTAACACCTGGGCCAGTTTGCTCTCCATCCTGTTCCCATTTGTTGATGCTTTGCTCCCAAAGAGATGAGACTTGCCAGCAGGCTTTGAGGGGCTTTGCTTCGCTTGCAGTCCTACATGTTCTCCTTTGCTGCTGTTTAACTCAGTATTATTGTCCAAACACTCTGTGGCATTTGCCTTCTCGTGTCTCTTTATAGCTTGAGTTGAATCCCCTTGAGATGGCACACCAGTCCACTCTTCAGCAGACCAGTATGGTGGGTATTCAAAAGTGTGTTTAGATTGGGTGTCATGGCTCCCAGAGAGTGGATTCAAAACATCAGCCTTTCTTGATGCAACAGGTGAGAGTTGAGTAACACCCTCACCTGTTGGTGCCGTCGTTTCGAGAGTTTGCTGCTTTACGATGGACACGAGGTTAGACAGGGGAGACTTCATTCTCTCCCACTTATCATCCTCAGGTTTGGACGGGCTGTGATGGGCGTTCTGAAATTTGGATCTTTCCGAAGCTGTGGTGCCTTTTGTTTTCGGAGATCCTTGTGTGATCTTTCTCTGAGCAGACGAGGGTTGGTGTGGAAGAGGAGTTGGCTGCGGCCAAGCCGGGCTGACGACAGTGTTGGAGAATGGCACCGCTGATTTGCCAGCTTTCTGAGGAGTCTGAGCACTGGTAGAGCTGGACAGAGCAGTGGTGAGGGCTCCTTTAGAGGGACAGTTCTTAGTTATGGCTGTGCTGGTGTTTTTAACATGCTTGGTGCTGTGCGCATGTTGGTTGCCCTTCATCATACAGGATGGCTTCTTTCCTACTGAGGCCAGATGCTCTCCTTGGTCAATTATAGATATAAACTCCTGCTTTGCAAAAGATGGAAATTCATCAGCAAAAGCCCCCTTTCCGTCTTTGCCCCGTAGAGTAGAAGCCAGTATGGGGCTGGCCACACCTACATAAGTCCCGGGGATGTTTTTTATGGAGTCTTGTGAAGATCCTTTACTCCAGGCTGGTTTGGGTTCTGGGACCTGGTGATTCGGAGGCCTACTTATTTGCTTTTGATGAGATCCATTTCTGTGGGTGTTGGGTAAGATAGGGTATTGCACAGCTGAGTTATAATTTGTAGAATGAGTCCTATTTGAGTTTAGAAAATCTCTCTGATTTGATTCATTATTATGAGGCTCAATCATAGTGACTGGAGGGTCATTTATGCATTTTGGACGTTTTGATTTAGCAGATAGATCAAGAGGTACATCCCTTGGTTCAACAGAACAAGCTGTGTGGTCCTCCGAAGCTGAGGGAGGCGTCGTTTTAAGAGAGCCCATGGTAGTCTTGTCTATGCTGTTGCCTTTCTCCACATGGTTCAGCAGTCGGCTCTGAGAGGTGATGCTGGCCAGTGCAGAGCCACAGCAAATGGCAGCAGTGGGAGACAGTGTGTAGAGGGTGGGTGCTGCAGGAGTTAATGACGGGTGCTGCAAGGGTAGGGCAATAGCTGGTGAGGCCACCACTGAGGCCAAAGACTTATGCTCTCCCACAGATTTGGCGTTTTTAGTGGATGAATGGTTAGATTTAAGTTTGGATGACAATGTTCCGACTTTTTTCTCTGCAGCTGGAGTCCGGCCCACCGAGAACAGAAAGGGATAGGTCCGCATGAGAGGTGTCCCTGCAACACCTGAGCTTTGAGGCTGAATTTCTTTCTGAAACTGGTTTGATGTGGCTTCTCTCAATGCTGCTATCTGACCCAATGCTGGTGGAAGAGTAATTTTACAAAGTGGGGAGGGAAAATTAGTCGAGGGAAGGAAGGCAACAGGCTGGACCTGTTTAAACATGGTGGAGCACTGAAACCCAGGGGGAACACTTTGAACAGATTGTGTTTGCGGGTGAGATTTCTTACTGGATGTCACATTGCTGTGACAGGGGTTGAGTGAGTCCTCCCGGACGAGTTTCACGCCACTTAACCTATGAGGAGAGGGGAAGACCCCAGCACCATCAGCCTTGAGTTTAGGAGCCTCTGCCCTTTTGTCTGCTTTCTTCTCAGAGCCGGACGTTGGTGCATTGTTGGGCTGTTGAGGCAGAGAAAGCTCAGGGCTGTGGTTGTAATTGCTAGTGTCCAGGCAGGTTTTCGCTGTCTTACAGTCTGTTGTTGGAGTCGTCTTGTTTTGCTGACTGAGGGTAACATCTCCTCTGAACTCAGGGGGTAGCGTCTGGGGGGGATTTCCCACCATACTAGCAGACGCTTTATTAGGAGCACTGATCTCTCTGCTCACCGTGCCTCCATCCCCTACATTCATTAGTGTAGGATCCACCTGAGTAATAAGAGAAGATCATGAGGCCAATATTGATTAGATAAGAGAAAATAATACTCTAATCTAGTAATCTTACTGTAATGAAAAAAAGATTACCTGCATAGGTGTTTCTTTAACACAACATGCCTCAGGGGTAGCGGAGTCAGTCAGGTGAGTTTTTCTTGAAATAGAGTGATAAGCTGCAGAATACACAAAAAGAAGAACACTTAGTGTGATACACGTTGGTGTCGTTTTCATAACAATTACAGAAAATTATTTCATTCGATCCTTCATGAATGAACACGGCCTACTCTATGCAACATTCAATGTTTCAGAGTAACTAAAAGGAAGCAATAAAAAAGTTCCCTTCTTTACGACAGGCTTCCAGGCAAGATATGTTACAATTTCCTCAGGGCATAAAAAACATTTATGGTAGCAAAGAGAAGCGTGATAAACTGAACAATATATTTGTTCGTTCCAGACAATACTAACAATTTGTCAGACTTGATCGATCTGGAGTGTGAATTATCTTGACTAAAAATAGTCTGATCAGTAAGTGAAATGAGAACTAATGCATCAGTTGAAACAGAGACAGATTAGGAGCCGGGCACTGACACGTAAAAGTCCAACATTCCCAAATAAATCACCTCTTTCACACTCCCCATCTGCATGTGTTTTCCACTGCATGTTGTAGGGTAACTTTAACTCTCAAAGGTTTGCTGTTTGTTTAAGCTATTTCATTCACACTGAAGATGATGTGGGCTGTCTACATCACTTCAAACCTTTCTACCACAATATAGTGGATGCATCTTACTGCAGCCTATGAGTACCTTGTGTTGTTTTAGGAGAGAGTAACATTATATATAAAAATCAATACTAGAAAAGACTATCAGAAAAAAAACAAGATTAAAGCATCCGGAAAGAACAAAATAATCATCGTTAGTTTGATTAAGCCCTATGACAGTCAAAAGAGGAGAGTCCAATTTGTGCCCTCTGGCCCTTTATAGGCCCACTCAGTATGTGAAGCAATCGAGTGCAGTTCTGTTAAAATTATCTTTTAATAGTGAGCGACAGACTTAAAATTTGACAATGGAGAAAAAGTTGTGTTTCTTATCCATCACTGGATTTTTGTTCCTGTGTTGAATTCAGCTTGAATATGGGGGTCAGGCCGGGTGATCAACAATCAGACATGAAGTTTCACCTACTGCTTCCCTAATGCTCACAACATAATTTATTTTCCAACGAACTCTAACCAGGTAAGCTGGTGAATAACAATACAAAAACATTTTATCTATCCTGATATCATCTGGGAAAATGGGATATACTGTAGGCTACTCTCATACACACGCTAGCAGAGCCCCTATGTAGGTAGAGGTGAGCGCAGGCGAGCGCATCTGCAAGTAAATTAGACGACTACAAAAAGGGACTACAGGCAAAAATGTATCTCAAAGCTTTGGGGGAATGGAAAATGTTTCATCCGGGAGTCAGTGAAACATAACGACTATGATGCACATAATGACTGACACACCAATCTCTGCTGGAATCTGCGAGCACGGACTGAAAGGGATCCAGCGATGCAGATACCACTCAGTGCAAGGAGGCTCTGCATTCATTACCGCACAACAGTTGCTTACAGCTAGTTTGTCTTTGTGCTGCGATCATACGCGGTCTACTCCGCCACAACATTTACATTCATCAACTCTGATGTAGGCCACTAAAATGTATGCAGTAGTCCGGCACACGCGCCGTGGGCAACACCGCTCCGACATAACAAAGTCAAGCCTGACATTTCATCTGAGAAAAACAGCCCGGACCAAACGGTTCTGTTGTAGCTCACTTCAGCCCGGGCAGATCCCTCTATAGCCCCGTGACACAAAAGACACACGCCCCGATGTCATGTGTGGGGGGGGAAGTGCACAATGCATGTTGTGGCGTAACACTTTGCTATCCTCCGTTGTAAATATCAGCACGAAAAAACTCTGGAGAGCTCCGGGTCGCTCTCTGTCACTGGAGATGGCGAGAGGGACTACAATGAGAGAATGGCAACCGGCTCTCAGGTGATCATCGCTGCATCCGCTAACAAATACGAGAATAAACTGCACATGGAGCCTGACTTCCTCTAAAACACTACCCTAAATAACGCAGACAACATGGATGATACTGTTTGGAAATAAAAGATAGATGTTTTGGGCATATTATAGTAAGTGACAGCCAGGAGAGGTTTCTCCACACATCGAGTGGCAGCTGCTTCGGAGCAACACAATGTGGCAATGTGTCACATCTCCGTCCGATAAGGTAAGTCAACATCAATGCAAAGCCACACAGAAAACACAAGGCAGAGCCAAACAAACAAAACTCCTGACCACCATCACGCTGTTTCATCAGCGACAAAGTAACAGTCTTAACAAACAAATAATCAATTCCCTGCACTGAGTAACACGCAAATAGGAAGAAACAAAGTAGCCAACTGGACAACAAAAACACAGGGGTAACACAACTTATTGTACAGGATCGTTCTGCTGGAGTGGTCACCGAAAATGAGGGCAAATAGTATATTTAACTCCACTGACCACCACGGGTATGTTTCAAGCTCCCTGCGCAGCGGAGTCTTCTCTCACTCCGTCGGCTTACATGTTGAGGCAGGCTACTGTTATTTATCCCCGGCCGACCTAATGTGAAGTGCTCCAGTCTCTCCTATATCGGCCCTTTCGGTGGACAGACGGAACCACTTCGGCGTTGAAAAGCATTCACCGAGCCCCCCGACCCACCGAGCCTCTCCTCTCCTTCCCCCCCTGTAAGACTCTCTCTGTCCGAAATATTGAATAATTCCCGAGCTAATCAGCGGGCGAGATAAAAGATGTCTAATGACACAAACAGTTACCAACCCGCTCGTGCAGATGGCATGTGGACGACGCTACGGGCACCACTCGGATACGGCCGGGTCCAGCCTATCGCCTCTGCCGTCCGCGGCTGCTCACTAATCTCGACGGTTTTCGGTTCTCAAAGTCCGGGGGGGCGGGAGGAGAGAGGAGGAGGAAGGAGAGGGAAGGGGGGGGGGGTAGTCAAGACAGTCCGTTCGTATCTCCAGTCTGGTGGGAGAGAGAGAGGGGCAGGAGGGTGCTCGGTGATAGCATGGGAGATGTAGTGCTGGGCTATCCACGCCCAGGATTAGACGCTGGAGAGGCTGGGAGGGGTGAGGACTGCAGGTACCGGCATGCAATGCGAGCTTCTGCCTGCTCAAGGGGAATGGGGGATCGCGACCAAAGAGTGTAACGGTGCGCTAAAACTGAAGTGGCTTCTCGGGGTAACGAAGTAATAAACTGTATTTCTGGTAACGAAAGCAGACTCCGAGTGTTACTGCTCGGGTGTTTGCGTTTCATTGGTAGGCAGGTCAATTAACAGAGTCACAGCAGAGGGTGATGGTTGCTGAACGGAATTGCTCAAATACAAAAAAAGAGTGGGAGAGGTTTGGTTTCTGTTGCAGGGGAATGAACACGAGGAAGCAAGACTCCGGGTGCTGGAGGCTCTCCAGTTGCATGCTGTAAGCTGCAGCGAGATGCAGCCTGGAGAAGATGGGGGAGCAGTAAAGCCTCTTCTACTGATTCTACTGAGTAGGATGTCAAAACCCATAACTACATGAGACTTGTCATCAGACATTAAGTGTGGGTCCTTTTGTGGTGATACAATGTATCTGACTTAACTTACACCATAGCTTCAGTTGTAAACATAAATAAATAAACAAAGCCCTGGAAGCAGAAATCATGCATGCAGGCTGTTTTTTTAAAATATCGCTGGTGTCTTCCCTTTACTGGCTTACAAGATATTTACACATTCTTTTGCAGAGCAAAAGTGATATTAGGAATTTGTAGAGTCAATATTATGATTCTCATCTTCAAACTCCTCAAATATACTTTCTTCCACAAAAAAAAACAAAAACCTACAATTATCTTGGAAAATATATAGAGACATACCATGCAGTGACATGACAGCTTTGCTCCCTTGATTAAGGTATTTTCCCCTAATTAATTATGATTGATTATGACCAGCTGTGCTGAGCCCAATCAAACCATATGATTTTTTATGATTTCTTGGTTTGTTCGAGTCAAGGTTTTGATGGTGTGAAGCCATTTTGTTGTCAAGAACACTGATAATCACACATTTTGCCAAAGAGTGCCACTAACTCTGTGCTGGATCCTCAGTTTACTGTCATTTACATCTTGCAGCGCAGCGTGTCAAAATCACATTTCCTGTTATCACCAGCTCAGGTTTTAGCTGGATTCATGTACACAGTTTTCTACACAGAAGTGGGCTGGAGTTAAGTTAAAAGCAAAAATACTTCTCTGTATAAAACTACTTGAATTGTCTTTAGTTCTCTACAAGACTGTACACAATATCAAGATAATCTGCTCCTATTAATAAAAACAATAGCCTTCAACCTACTGAAAATAACCCAAACATGCTCACACAGCTACCAAGTCTCACACATCAGAGGACAGACCATTTTTTTTAAATACAAGCCACCACTCTGTATATAAAGTTGAAAGAGGCTTCTCCTGCAAGCTATATTATCTTTATAATATTTGTAAATGAATACAAATCAACTTCTGTTTACAACTGTTTCTATATTTTTTACTTTTAACAAGTGCACGTTTGAGAACAGCTTTAACCAGCTTTATTTAATTGAAGTCAGACTATAACACACAAGTTATATTAAACAAAGACTAAAGAGGTAAAATAATATCTGATGACCAACAGCTAATATTTGACAGCATGACAGCACATCTGCAACTTCCAGTCATAGCAAGTTTCAAGTGTAATTTTCTGACTCACATCCACGAGATATTTAGCTCTGTATGCAACAATCACATTTGGGCACAGTTTAGCAGTACAGGTTACTCTGCTGTAATTAGGCTACTTGTCTTACCTGAATCATGAAAGCAGTGTTAGCCTACTGTCTACAATGGTGTCCACTGTCCACTCCTTTAGGCCAACACATTTCCTACTTTTCTCAACACTTGGGGTGGTGAGGAAATAACCGTGCACACACAGCGAGGCTGACTGAGAGTTTGTTTACTACCATGCACGATCTGTGTGCTGTTGCCCACCATGAAAGCGATCTAGGACAACAACCCTGTCCATCCGCCGAGAGCAGTAACCTACAAGCGGAAACTATTTCGCTGCCTTCCTATCGCGGAGTGGATCGGTGTGCCCTTCGCCATTCGCTCAGTAATGGCTGCGTGCAGGCAGACAAGTCGTTGACAGATGGCCAAATGTGAAATTGGGAAACCAAAAAACACCGATTGGTAAAAGGGGAAACGCGGATGTACAGCACGGGGTCGGCAGAAAGCGGGAGTCTCACAAAGTCGGCAGCTGACACCTCGCATTGTGTCTGAGCTGGGGTAACCCGGAGACCTCAACGACCGCGCAGCAGCTATCCCGGTAGTGACCGGCTGCTCGGGGCTTTCACCAATTACAGACGACTTTGGTTTCACAGGCTCCACATAGGATGTCTGAAGCAATGGGGTTAAAACAACTTATTATGCATGCATTTATAAATCTCTCGAGCAGGGATGTGGTATTCCGCACATGCAGTATGACAACTGCGATAGCACAGATGAAGGCACGTTGTTTGTTTCGCAGGCCGGATTTTTGAAGATTGTCGTCTTCAAAGTGGGCATACATGGTCATTTATCTGTGAGTCATATTGGAGATTATCGACCCTATTTAGGCCGCCATGGTTTACAGAGACAAGGATGTCCCGTATAAGTTCGTGGTTCACCTGGTCAATGAATCCCGAGGCTCGTCAGGCGGGGGGTGGACGCTCAGTAAAAAGCAAGCGTATTATTCTTCCATCTTGGCATAAGTAATGAATTATTCTACAATAAACGAAGGGAGGGTGGCAGCTGATCACAGAAACACTGAAGGGTGATGTGCTTGTTTGCCAGGTTAATGGATGGCCCGATGTGCCGTCCAGATGATGTTAAATATCTGAAAATGAATCGCATCACTTCATACAGTTTCCGTGTCGGCGTTTGGACAGCCGATACGCATGGACAGCAGACTCAAGTATGTCATCTCGATACACAACTTGGCTGGCCATAGGCTACATGTGACACGATCCTACATAATGCCGTGGGATATCAGCGATACATCACCGCAACTACTGTGGCTCCTGCAAGACAGCGACAACAAGAAAATACACATATCCAGGTCAAAGTTTGGCAGAGTTTAACTCGCCCTCAATAGCGTTGTGCAATGCCCCCTTTAATGCCCCCTGCTCGCCCGTAACGCCTTTGTTATTAGTAATCGCATGGTATTGCACCGTCTTACCTTGCGCTCCGAGCCGTGTACAGCCAACACAGCCTGCAGACCAAGCAACAAGCTATTGTTGTCTACAGAGGCTTCCGACGGGGCCAGGGATGTGATTTTGAAGTAGAAGGAATACAGTATGCAATTTCGGCTTGTCCTCGCGATCTTCCCTTATTGCCAGTTTTCGGTCTGCAGCAGCTGGAGATGAAAATCGCGCACCCTGGGTCCTAGCGCCGGGTAAAGCCCTACAGGTGAATAACAAACAGACTGGTGCTCGCTGGGTTTTAATCTTTAATTGCAGAGGACTTCGCTGGAGTCACATAAATAGTCCTTATGGGGCAGAGTTTAGTATCCCAGCTACAGATTCAACAAAGACCTGCGTTGAGGTCTCTTAATTTGTTTTAACATTGTCTTCAAGTCTAATTACACTGACTGCGTTTACTTTAACAATATAGTCTGCTTACCTGTCACACTAAAACAAATGTTTTTAACAACACACTTATTTTTCCTTTAAGACTTCACACCATCCTGTACAGTCAATTGTGTTATTTATAATAATATTTTATTTTGGGAACAGTCATATCAACTGCTTTTGTTTTCACGCAATCGAGTTTGGGGTTGAGTTTTTATAGTATTGTGTTAGGTGCAGTATAATATTTTTGGAGAAGGCTGTCAGTATGAATTTGTGACAGGAAGCTGCAAAGGTGTTGGACAGTTTCTCTTAAATCAATATGTGGATATAACTACTGCTGTTTCCAACCAACAGCAAGCATGCAAATGTCTCTCACAATAGTAAGCACAAGCAGCGTGGGGTCTGTTGCTGTATCAGGGGGGACGTTGTACCTAGAGGACAGTTGTCTCATAATGGGTCTATAGATTGTTATTTTAGTAGTGGATCACTGATTGAAGAAACCCATGTATATATAAAGATCAGTCAAAGTCAAAAGTCAACTTCATGTTCTGTTGGTGTGATACAGACAGGGAGATCAAAATGCTGTTTCTCACAATCCCTAGGAATAAAATAAAATATATAGACAATATATAAATACATGTATATGTACACACCTGTACACCCACTTATAAACATGTATGTATATATATATATATACATATGCACACACTAAGAGGCATACCTAAAAGGCACAACAGTCAATACAAAATAACAAAACAACAGTAACTTAAAACTACATGAAGATGAATATACTACAACAGTCAAATATGTACAGTAGTGCAAATGACTACATAGTAGCTTATTAGAAAAGATTCTGGTGCTGGATGTGTGTTTCTGTTTTTCTTGACAGGTTATACACATACTGTGCACACTGCAAGAAAAACCAGACGTCTGGAAAATACAACTTTCCAAATGTGGCACATCAGAGCACAAATAAGTGTAATAATCACCAGTGACATATAGGCACAAAACTGCCAATTTCAGAATGATGATACGTTGGATTTCATGTTTAATTCTTCAGCCATAATTACACACAGACCTCTTACAGCGATGCCAGGTCAGGACATCCTGGCAACTTATTAGAGGCTTGTGAGAGTGGCTTAAGTCAGTGAACAAATCAGGGCTGCTGTTATTCAGTTAAAGGCCCCGTTAAAAGGGTCAAGACTCAACCGGTGTGTGAGCAAGCAATGGTCTGAGCTCAG